AAGTAATCAACCCTCACCAACCCTTCCTGAAACACACTCTTGTAGTCCCCACGGATACGTCCTGGGTTGAATTTCTTTCCTAGTACACCCCTGGCTGAAAGTAATGATTATTTTCATTACTGATTTATTGTTTAGCCTATAAAATGTCAGGTGACATCCTCAGATAGCTTGTATTGTCTGAGTAGCAGTGCAGAGCCCAAAAATATTCAGTTTACGGTGCTCTAAAACAGAAAAGCAGCAAGTTTTCACATTAGAGAAGCTGGAGCCAGAAATTTTATTTGATTATGAGAATTGTTGCCTATTAATTTTCTGTTGTTCAACAAACAGATGAAATGACTATATGCTAAAATCTAATTTTTAAAAAAACATCTGGAGACAGTGAGAATCTGTTGATGTTTAAAAGCTTTAACTTCTTACTGCTGTCCACTGACCTCAGATGGAGTCTCAACTAAAATACAATCTGTTTTTGTCAACAACATTCAGTCCTCTGTCAGAAACTCAACACTCCGCCTTGACAACAGCGGGATTGTTTACCATGGTAACGCATCAGCGGTGTCATAGCAACCGGCTGCTGGCTGAGCAAGGAGATGATCTGATGGATACTTGATCTCTTTACATCTATCTGTGTGTTAGCCTGTCTTCTAAGAAAAATATCAACAAACTGAATGACATAATCTCCTGTGAGACCCCGAGAGAGAGCATCAGTCTGGTCAGACAGGTTTTTCTTTACAGACATAACGGTGACTAACACATTTTAAACATCATGGGTAATAATCAGTGTCTGTTAACAGGTACTTGATGTAAACCTGGGGTCTCATTTATCATCAGTGCTTAGAAAAGGTTCTAAATTCTGTTGTAAGTGAAATTTTGAGTGTGCGTAAGTACAAAAAAATCCGTATTTATCAAACGTGCATACAGGGGTCGTACGCACATCAATAAGTCCTCAGTACTGATAAATCCCACTTGTTCTTGACCTCCGTGCTCGTGAATGTTGCCTTCAGAAACGCCTCCAATAAACTAGGTACGGCAACAACACGCGTGTTTATAAAACAGCCGCAGATTTATTTTTTCCTCACCTGTCATCATCATCATGGCAAAAAGGGCGAAAAAGAGGAACTTTTGTGAAACTGAAACCGAGGTACTTGTCAGCGAGGTTGAAGCAAACCAGAAAATATTGTTTGGTGCGTGAAATGTTGGGATAAGCAGCGAAAGAAAAAATACTGCAGACAAGATAACCACTGTAGTTATTACTGTTGGATCAGAGGAGAGATCGCCAGCAAAACTTTTTAAAAAGTGGGTTGACGTTAAGCTCAGTGCCAAAAAACGCATCACAGTCCATAAAAGAGAAATGACTGCAACTGGAGGAGGACGAATTAATACCAAACGTTCACCCAGTGGATAATCCTGATCACATACAGATGAGATGCTTTAATAACCAAACAAAGTCCAGCAAAAACATTTCTACACTGTGACACTCATCAAAAAGCCAGCCGTCTTCAATAGCTCCAGCTTGGAGACGCACAGCCACAGAACTGTTCTGCACAAATCGCAGATTATTTGAACGTTGATTGAATGAAACCCTTTTCTATTAACGCAATTCAATTCATTCAATGTTAGTGCTTTGATTTTGATGTGGGTGCTGTCTATGGCTCCACATATGTTTGGGAATCCAGCAATGACGTGAAGTCCCCGTTTGATTTGGGCTCGTTGGTGATGGCTGTAAGGGAACTAGATGTAGGCTGGGGCCAGGGGAGTTATGGCATCCAACACTGCCGGCTCAGAGGTGTCTGGAAATGCTGCATATCTCCAGCCTCACGCTGGAATGTGCTGGTGGTCAAAATCCCCGAATGCTTTCTATTTGTAGTTTCACTTTTCTACCGCTAGATTATGTGCACACGCATGGTCAGAGTTGTGCGTATATTTACGCACATTCCTACGTATAAGTACAAGTTGATAAATTCCATACTTTGCGTAGGAATGTTCATACATACTCTCTACACGCATATCTGTGCGTACACACTGATGATAAATGAGGCCCCAGGTAATAACAGTGCAACGTTCAGCCTGTATTTGTTGAGATTTTGGAAAACTGACACAATTCAAGATATGCAGAATTATACATTTTTAAACTGCATAAACAACTATCATTGGATTGTCCAAGGAGACTTGAAAACATATTGATTAGCAGGAAAGTTCTGTAGAATTAATGAGCACCTTTTTCTAATTGGAGTTCTGGGGTTTATTTCTAATGGACATCAGAAATAATAAAAACCTCAAAGTGTATCTAAAAATTTGTGACTCTGACAAGGGGTCAAATTCTGTGAGACCAAAGGGAGGCAAATCAGCCTCAAAACTACTATAACCAGTTGTTTGTGTGCCCAACTGCATGCTGTATCTTTGCCTAAAGCACCTTATTTCTGTTCCTGCAAGACCAAGAACCTCTTACAAGCTTTACTCACAATTTTATTGAACAAATCCAAACTAAGTTTAGCTCCTGTAACATAATTCAAGGTGTAAAAGAAGACTGTGGAATAAGGACATACTGGATGATTCTAATATCACAAATAAATGAGGTGACAACATGTCTTGTAATTTCAATAATTTTAGAAAACAAAGTTATGTTGTCAAGTAATTGACAGAAAAATGCAGTGACAGTGGTCGCAGTAACAACAGAAATACAGTTTTCGTTTTTTAAGTGTTTCACTGCTGCCCAAAAGTTGAAACAAATACATTTTGGAGTCTCTTTTTTGTTCAAAGCATAGTTGCATATGCATATAGAACTGCCGCAATTTTCCCAAGGAAACAACAGAAATGCTGCTGTAGTTTTATAGTTAGTTGTGGATCTAATTTTCCTGACCTACATGGTTCTTTAGATGATGTGGAAACATAAACAAGGGTTTGCAAAGGAGACTTAGTTCCTGCTTTAGTTCGTCTGGCTCTGTAGCAGCTAGAACTTTTGGGGGTTAAAGGGACTAATAAAAAAAAGCATACGATCTTTGTGTTACTTTGGTCTTAGTTCTTACCTGCATGCGTCCAAGCACTATCTTGGTTTGTTCATCCTAAGCCGCATTACTGACATGGCTCCCAGTACCACCCTATAGCTCTTACCATTCTGAAGGATGTGGCATCTGTAAATCAGGGGAAAACATTAAGTTTTATTCAGATTTGAATAAAGTACAGTGCAGGATGGCCAAAAACAGTCTTCATTTAATTGATCATAAGACAGAAGTAATTTTTTTTCATCCTCCCATCACCACAAGCATAACCAGCCACTTAGGGCCACTGACAGCAGACCTACCCATACCAGGAATCTTTGTATTATCTTTGACTCTGCACTGACATTTGACAAAAAGATTAACTCAGTGGTAAAAGGGTGTTATTTTCAACTGAGGATCATTGTCAAAGTGAAATTTATGCTGTCTTTAAATGACACAAGAGCTGTCAACACAGCATTCATTTCTTGAAGGATGGATTACGACAACTCTCTGTAAGTTCAGTCCTCTCTGTGTCGTCTGTAGCTGCTGCAAGAGTCCTAATGGTACTACAAACATTGAAAGCATCACTCCTGTACTGGCACCAATGCACTGGCTACCTGTTAAATACAGAACAGATTTTGTTATTCTTTGTTTTTTTCTGAAGCTTGCAGTGGCAGCTACAGAACTCTGGAGTGGCCTTTCTCTTTTATTCAAATGTTCCTTCTCCATTGACATTTTTAGGAAAAATCTCTTGACATACTTGTTTTCAATGGCTTTGTTTTTTTCCCCTGTACTAGCAGTCTTAATATTTTAGTTTGTTTTTATTTGATCTTAGAAGTTCATCTCTTGTTTGTCCCGTTTTTTTTTAAAAAGCATTTTTATATTAAGTGATCCAGCAACTGTTTAACTGTTCTCTGTCTTGCTTTTTGCATGTTTTTTTTGTTGCCTGTCTTATTTTGCGTACATACACTTCAGTAAGCGCAGGTTGCTTTAAAATGCTCCATATAAATATACCTGATTTGATTTGCTCCTATTACACGCTGCAGTTTAGTCATGTTGGATAGAACGGCGGTTGGCCTGAGTTTTGGGGCGACATTGGGGTGGAGTGATGGTGGGGGTCCAGCAGAGGAAAATAATGGTGGAGGTGTCGGGTGGCTCCTCGCAGGAGCCCCAGAGAACCTGGCCTGAGCCGTGGGGTGGAGTGATGGCAGGAGGTGCACTGTGGGGTCATTAACAGGGCGAGGTCACGGCCTTTTGGGAGCAGATTATAGTAATGAGCTGGATAATGGAGCCAGTGTGTGTGTATTGATCTGAGCTGGTCTATGGGGATTCATAATGCGGTCTCTAAATCTGCCTAATGACGAGCTGTACAGGGGTTCTGAGTGTGTGTGGAGTTTGGAGTCGATACTATGAAACACACTCATACACACACTTTGTCAACCAGTAACTAGAAATACTTCCAAGCTTGTATTTTGTCCTGTAGGGCTCTGGAAAAACTTTGTTCGAGAGAAGCGAACAGATATAAAGGGCCTCTAAGTCGGACTTTGCTGCTGTTGCCATTGTGTAAATTGTAGAAGCTGACCATTGACTGGAGCATATATGCAGTGATACTGAAGAAAAACATTTCTCAGAATAAATTGAAGAAAAAAAAATAAAAATAAAAATATGCATTGGTTGATGTTGAAGCATTTTCAGTGTCGTTGCCCTTTTATGCTGAGAAATCTCACCAGCTCCGACATGTTAATTGTCTTAGTTTAGTGTGTGAGGATGCTAATGGATTTGCTAATTAGTGCCTAACACCATGTGCAGCTGAGGCTGATGAGAGGAAAGGTCAGAGCATCACAAAAGTCAGTAGGATTCATCCTCTGAGGAGCATGAATATCTGTACAGAATTACATAGTAATATTTCTGGCAGTTGTTGAGATGTTTCAGTCATTAGCATGTAGACACTGTAGATCAAAGCTTCATCTGTTGACAGTGATGGAGATGCTCATCTTGTTTTTGTGTGTGATTGTGTGTGTGCAGGGTTCAGCAGTCGTCCCAGGTACGTGAAGGTGTTCATCAACCCCAGCAGCCACAAGAAGGAGGCCGTTCACATCTACAGAGAACACGTGGCTCCTCTCTTCAAGATGGCCGACGTCCGCACTGACATCACCGGTCAGTCCAGCCAACTGCTGACTCATCTACTGAACACATATACGAGAATACAGATAATTACATCAGTTTATGTTACATGTATCATAGTAAAGACGCTGTGTCGGGCTAGTAGAAGTGTTGCAGATGTTTCGGCTGTTGGATCTTTATTGACATCAGAGAAGACGATATGAAATCTGTGTGTGTGTGTTTTATGTGGATGTGGAGGAGGTCCAAAGGTCAGAGTTAATGGCAGTTTCTGGTCGCTAGGTAACCTGATACAGGAGGCGGAGCTTAGCCCATCTGTTGTGACAGAGGGAGACAAACTCCTCTTCTCTCCTCCTCCTTTCTCCTCCCTTGTTTACTCTCTCCTACGTTTCTTCTCCTCTCCTCCTTTCCTTTCCTTTCCTTTCCTTTCCTTTCCTCTTTTTCTGTGTTTCCTCGTCTCTCCTCTCTTGTCTTGCTTTCTCCCCGTCTTCCTTTCTCTTGCTTTCTTCTCCTCTCCTCCTCTCAGCAGATGGTGTGATATCCGTTGTCCCACTTTTTTTTTGGCAGGCATCAGACACACACTTGTGTACATCTGACCACACACATGCATGAACACTTTATCTCTGTCCATCTCAATGTCTCTCCATCTGCTTACCTCTTTTTTCCCCTCTCTCTCTCGCTACCTGTCTCTCTTTCTGTCTCTGCAGTAACAGAGAGGAAGGGTCATGCTCTCTCAGTGATGAAGGAATGCAAACTGGATGAATATGATGGGTCAGTTGTTTGTCTCTCACTCCTGTGTTTTGCTTTGTTGAGAATTTATCGCTATTTTGCCATGTAAAACCTGGATTTCCTGCTATAAATATTGTTATATTAATATTCTGATGTTACTGTTTAATGTAAATTAGATCATGCTTAGTAGTCTGTAGTATCTCAAAACATACCCGCCAGATGGACTGTAAGTTGCCATTTAAAAGTAATGTTTTGCTTAAAAGGCAAACTAGTTATGTTAACATAATAACTGGAAGTTTACTATGCGCTGTGGCATGGTATCAGTACAGAGATTTTTAAAAGGTATTGTATCCTCCCTGAAAAAGGCAGTGTTTTTATGGGCAATAGCAGTCCCTCTTTGATCAACCATTTGCTTACTGTTGCTTTGTGTTCTTGCACATTGACGCTCCTATTAATTATGAAGGAATCCGGGTTTAATTTCAGACAGAGGTAGAATAGTGACCTTCAGTTTCGCTCAAACAAATTGTTGATGGCTGATTTTATCAGCTGTAGCCAGATGGCTAATTAAACTAACTTTAGTTCCATGAGTCGGTTGAAAACTGTCTCCAGCTGCATGTTTTAACCCTCTAAACACCAAGCAGTTTCTGGGTATGTTTTTTTTTTTTTTAGCCCCTGCCAAATTTTTCCTCACTGTTGGTTCAATTTTTACTGCAATATATATAATAAGTCCTGCACCTCTTTGGAAACAGAACAACCATGACTAGAAGTAGAGAGAACTCAAAAAATGTCTTTTATGCACTGTAAGAAACTTCTAATGCCATAGATCATAAAAAAGAAACTAAGGACCTACAGGTGTTACCATTATTGGTAAATGGTGAACCTACATACTAAAGAGGATTTACTACATACATACATACATACATACATACATACATACATACATACATACATACATACATACATAC